AGAGTGTAAGGTTTATTAACCATTGCTTCTGCTAAACCTTTGTATGTTGTTCTTGGTAAACCATTAAGTTTTTAAGAGGTAAGAGGATCCAAATAAATCACCTTTTGTTACCTCTGTCAGGCCAGGTCTGAAACGATTTCGCAGATGTTGAAGTTCATCGTCTGTAGTCGTGAACAAAGACAAGAAATACGATTGATGATTTCAGTCTTATCAGGCGCATAGTTTACTTCTTTCTTATGCTTATGAATATGAATATTTAATAATACTTATGAATATGCCACCTACGTAATACCCAGCACTATAGTAGGTTTGCTTAAATCCAAAAGATCACTCCCTTTTTTGTTTTTGTTTTTATTTGTTACCACATAGTCTCTTAATCTATTTTCTTAGCAGTAGTGGATTTATATCATGGAATAACGTGCACATTACGATTTGAATTAAGATGCTAGTCATATTTACATCCTATGTCTTTTTTGGTGATCTCACCTTGTATTTTAGTCTCTTCAATAGTTGAAACTCAATAAACAGAGACTTTGAAATGCTTAGTATTAAGAAATCAGGCGTTATATGTCTTTACAATCCTTGATCTGGTCATTCTAAATTTAAATGCTTTAATTGCTATCTGACTGTTAAAAAAGTTAGGAACTGATATAAGAAGAATCGGAAAATAAGAAAGCAAAATAAGAATTTTCAATTGTACTAAACAAGGAGTGCAAAAGAGCTGATATGAAGAATCGGAATATAAGATACCGAAACAAGAACCGTGTATTAAACAGGGAGTATAAAGGAATTGATAAAAAGAATCAGATAAGTAGATGTGAATAGAAATGTGAAGGATAGAGGCAAAAGGTAACATAGGAAAAAAATGTAAATAGGTAAAAGTCCTCCTTATTTACTGAAGTAATTAAATCAGGTATTTAAGATCTTATAAAAAAGATATATGAGCAATATGTAAATCCACAAAGAACTTCTATTACTAGGTGCATACTTTAAACTTTTAAGTGCTTCCTAATCGCATAATACTATTTTTTCCAAAGCTTACAATTCATCTTTACTTTTTAATTATTTTATTTACTTTATTTTTATTATTTTATTTATCTTGAACAATTCTCCTAGTAAATTCAAATCCCATGCAACCCTAAAATTGAGCTCACCTTGTATGATTGTTAATTGAGTCACATATGCGTGCGTACGTGCGTACTGAAATGTTTATAGATTTGCAAATGAGCTAATTAGTTTTATGCTAATTAGTTTGCAGACTTAATTGAATATAATAGTTAAAGAGATTATATCGGTATATACGTTTAATGGAATAAAGTTTGGTTTTTAAGTTTTATAGAAACTTTAATTGAAATG